ACTTTTTCCCCCATATCGGACCATCGGTCTAATGACTCCAACCGGTTTTATTCGGCTACCATCATAGAATTTTAAATACAAATCTATTTTTTCTAGCGGTCGATTTTTGAAATATCTTTCATATGTTAGTTTACTGATACACGATATAGCCGAACCGGTATCTATCTCCATCTCTATATTAACATTGTCTATTAACAAAGATACTCTTACCGGTTTATAACTATTCAAACATAACTGATGTATCTCTTCCTCCAAGTCCGTATTGCTGCTATCCGACTTCGGCTCCGAGGTAGTCTGCGCTTCCTGGACGTGGAAAATTCTACCCCGGTTATTCTGGCCTCCCTTGCTCTTCGCTCCCTTAGAACACATTCTTCTAAGATGGCCTATTTGCTTACATCGGTCACAGGTGTAATTCCTGGACCGACATGTTCTCTTCCAGTGATCTGTGCCACCATATGCATAGCATTCCCGAGCATTATTTCCACTCTGAACCGGTATGTAAGTAATTATTCTGCCGCTGACTGCCACCGTTACGGTCACCTCCCACAGCTTGTTTGATCGCCATTACGGCACTGGTTCCCGCTGGCGCGCCCACCCTGCTGTCCATCAGCTCCACCGCGGCCGCATCCCGTTCCGCTGCCTCCAACGCACAGGCTATTCTAACTGCCTTCGCGTAATCCAGCCCGTCCTCCGCAAAAAGTCGTTGCCGGATTACATCACTCGTCAGTCCACAAACGAGCTGATCTCTCAAACTCTCTTCGAGCATGGCACCGAACTCACAATATTTAGTTAGTTTTTTTAATTCTGATATATATTGTAGTACACTTTCACTTTTTAACTGTCTTCGTAGTCTGAAATAATATCTTTCCGCCACTACCGAACGTTTTGGTTGCAAATGATTTCTTAATAAATTTACCACTGCTTCGTATGTTCCTTCCGATGGCTTACGTGGGCTGATCAAGTTACTTAATAGTTCGTACGCCGCATCGCCCATGACTGCTATCAATGTTGGCAACCACAAGTCGCGTTGTATTCCGTTCACTTTGAAATACATCTCCAAACGTTCCGTGTACAAAGTCCAATGTATATCGAATTCACTTATTTTACCCATTGCCATGGCGAATTCGTACTTCTAATTATATCAATATTTTAATATTACACACCGTAACAGATATATCTGTTTTTATTTTTATCTCGTCGCCAATGTAATGTTCTTTGAATAAAACGCAGTTATCCGATAGCCGATTTATTGCAAACTAAACTAAGTATTAAAATACAAAGGTGACAACCGTCATTTATCAATAATTCATATACCTACATTTCAGATTCGTACTCGATATTTTAAATTATTATGTAATCGATTTTTCAGTACAAATGTAAATAACCAACGACACTAATAATGTACTACTATATTCCGTTCTTTGAAACGGAACACTGCTATAATACAAAATAATGAAAATTTACTGTTCACAACGACTCATTAAAAGCATCATCGAATAATGCGCTGTAATAAAATCCTGTTATCGATTATTCAAAAAAATCGATAATACATTTATTTATTTTTAATATGACAACACTTCATACATAAGTATTATTGGAAATAGTATTACTTGCTTGTTCGGCTATTTTTAATTTACTTAAACTTTTTTTATATGTTTAATTTACAATAATAATATATTAAGTGCTTATTATTGGAAAATATAAAAAAGACATTTAATTAGGCCGATACAAATGACAACAATGCCATCTATGAAAGCATTTTGAAAACATTGAGCCCCGTATTAGCACTGATTAAAGTGTAATTAAGTACTGGAAAATAACAAAATGAGTAAATATATGAAAATTACTTTTCTAAACGCATTATTTCATTTTAACATGTATATATAACTTTTTAAAAATTGATTAAACATTTTTGAAAACACAGTTTTAACGTTTGCAAAACTATGAAGAATTCCATCGATACCAATCACGCCATCTATATGCAACTTTTAGCAATAATAATAGCTACTTCCTCACGGAGTACCACTGCTTAAACTATGAAGAAATGGCTACTCTTCTTATTCAAATAGAAGCCATCCTAAATTCTCGCCCCCTCACACCTCTATCTGATAATCCCTCCGACTTATATCCCCTTACTCCTGCTCCCTTCCTGGTTGGACGATCTCTGATCTGTTTGCCACATCCTGATATCGTCAATCGCCGAGCTAGCTCTCTTCAGCGTTTCCAACGCATCGAGCTACTCAAGCAACACTTCTGGAGTCGATTTTCTAATGAGTATGTTGTATGGCTCCAACAGAAAACCAAATGGCACCGGTCCTATGGCGAGCTGAAAGAGGGAATGTTCGTCGTTATCAAGGCGAAGACGTCTGCTCCATTGATGTGGCTTCTGGGACGCGTTGTACGTGTCCTGCCTGGAAGAGACGGCGTAGCAAGGGTTGCAGACATCCAAACGAAGAGGGTGTCATTCGCCGGGCATACAATACCATATGCCCCCTGCCTGTCAAGAGCTTTGAACTTGGCACTTCAACGCGGAGAGTCTATGGTCAAGCCATAAACTGCGAGCGCGATGATGTCCCCGGGGAGACACGGGGGCGCGGGGCGTCGGACAATATAGCTGCCGCACACAGCGACACACTGGTTTTTAACGCCGTAATAACCGCACGTGCATCTTTAGTTTATTTTCATAGCGTTCCGTACTATTAATGTCGGGCTAAAGCATTGTAATACAAGTTCTAGTAATAAACGCATTGGAGAATCTATAACAGTCCACTTTTTCACTCCCTGACGCCAACACCTATCTACATTGACATCGCTGTTACTCCAGTCAGCTCGTGACCACTGCTAGTGCAACTTAGTTGAAACGTCGAGAGAGGTAAATACCTTTATTTGCCATAAAATTATTCGTGTTAAGACCCGGTTAATAATTTAAATAATGTATATTAAACACGAAAGTTTAAAATTAACTACATTCATGTATATTTTAATTTTTCGCATTGTTGGACACATTGGATGTTATGCCCGTTTTATCTAGAGTATAAATTACAATTTACAATATATATATGAACTAGCTGTACCCGCGACTTCGTCTGCGTAAAATAGTGACCTTGACCAAAATATTTAATGACCTAACTCAGTAAAAGCCAAATGAAAAAGTTTTATCGTTTTAGCTTCAATAATTACGACACTTCCACACAATCTTTCTTTGGAAGAGTTATTTCAACCCCTTATAAATCTACTAGCTGTACCCGCGACTTTGTCCGCGTAAATAATGAAAAATATTTAACTCAATTAACACAATATAAGTCAAATAAATAAGTTTCATCGTTTTAGCTTCAAAAATGATAAAAAATAAAAATAAATATTCAATCAATAGGCTAAAAAATAAATTTCAAGCTCCTAGCCTTAAACATGACTATACATCTATATAACCTTTCAATCCTCTTGCAACCCTTTTTCGCATTAAAAAGTAGACTATTTCCTTTCTCAGGATCTAGTCTATCTATGTCTGTTTCAAATTTTAAATTATATCGGTTCAGTATTTTTGGCGTGTGAGCGAGATAAACAGACAGACAAAGTTACTTTCACATGTATAAAATCAGTAAGGTATTTAATAAACTAACTCTAAACAGACAAAGAAAAGATTTTAATCGTTCTAGCTTCCACAACAACACAAACAGCAAATTTCCACAAATTCCCTATTTTATTTTACTACTACCCCCCCCCCCCCTCCCCAATTTTACAAACATTGAATGTGAAATTTTTCAATATTTAAACAACAGCCTCTAGTTTTAAAAAATGACGATTCTTCCATACAGCTTACCATTGCAACCCTCTTACAATCCTTTTTTCACATTCAAAAGTACCCTATATTCTTTGTCCGGGTGTAAACTAACTGTGTACCAAATTTCATTTAAATTTTTGTTTTGTTTTGGAGCGTAAGACTGACAGAAAGACAAACAGAGTTACTTTCGCAGTTATAACATTACTGGGGTATTTAAAAATCTACCCCAAAAAACCAATGAAAATAGTTTCATCGTTCTAGTTTCAAAAATTACGAATTTACATAATAACTATCATCCCCTATTTTATTTTACCCCTTAAGGGTAATTTATTTACAAATATTGAATGTCATAATTATTTATATTTAATCAACAGCCTCAAAAATCAGTTTCAAGCTTCTAGCTTCAAAAATGACGATTTTACATGAAAACTTGCATCCCCTATTTTATTTTGCCCCCTTAAGGGTAATTTTTTACAAACATTGAATGTCATTTTTATTTATATTTAATCAACAGCCTCAAAAATAAGTTTCAAGCCTCTAGCTTCAAAAATGACGAATTTACATAAAAACTTGCATCCCCTATTTTATTTTACCCCCTTAAGGGTAATTTTTTTACAAACAATGAATGTCATTTTTATTTATATTTAATCAACTTTCATCCCCAATTTCAACCCCTTACAACTCTTTTTTCGCATTAAAAAGTAGCTATGTCCTTTCCCAGGGTCTAAACTATTTATGCACCAAATTTCATTTAAATCGGTTCAGTAGTTTTAGCGTGAAAGCGAGACAGACAGACAGACAGAGTTACTTTCGCATTTATAATATTAGTAAGGATTTTTGTCGCAGCAAAAAATATATATTTTTGTCGTTTCCCTACAAATAGTAATTTTACAGTATTAATCTACAATCCAACATTTTGTTTCTTACAATCAGCTAAATAATTTAAATAGTTTCAAAGTATATGACACAATGAAAAGGTCATTTATTTTATAAAAAAGGCAGTTAGTTTTTATTTTAGTGAAAAATAAGAAAATTATATTTTGATAAAACAACAATATATTTATTAATACCTATACTTTATTAATTTTGTGTTAATGATTTTTAAATAAACACCCACACATTATTTCTGTATAACCTACAAAAATGGGTAAATAATTTAATTTCGGATAGTGCCACACCACAACATTATTTAAAAAATGTAAATAATAAAATGTGAAATTGTGATTGTTATTAAGTTTTTTTTTAATAAGTTCGTCAGAACAGAGAAACAACATTTGACATTTATTATTATTTGACATTGGATATTGACTTTAATTTTTGTAATTTATATTGTAAAACTTTAAGTTGAGCTAAAATAAAACAAATTAATAAAAAAATTGCCAAATTTGTCTCGCAATCGGCCAATTTCAGGTTTAAAGAAAAAAAACACATACACATCGCACATCCCGTGTAAAAAGGCCGCAACTACACTTGCGTCAAAAATGTTTTATTACATAAATAAAGCGAGCATCACGGTTTACACCTTCTGTCAAAATCTCATGAAGCTATTGATAAAAATGAAGGAATAAATGCAAAAATACTAAAATTTTGCGACTTTAGAAAACATAAAATTCCAGCATAAAATAGAGGTATCCGTATTTGCATTTATTCGCTTTACAATTATCCCGTTCATAAAGTCATAATTGTATTTACGTAAATTTTAAAAAAAGATTTACAAAAAAATGTTTAACGCAAATATACTTAAATACTTGTTCCTATATCTTACAATCTAGGACTATTGCGTAATTCTAATTACTTACTTCTTCTACGAAACTTTTAGCTGATAGTTTATGTGTGATTATTGTTACATACTTTTCCCCCAGCAAAACTTCACAATGCGTAAAGTGTAGTTGTAGTTACTTCTTTATTACACGTAACATTTCATACCTGATGTTGGGTAATTTTAAATACAGCATGTATTTACAAGAAACAAAAAAATAAGAATATGTTCATGTAATTAAAATTAAGTAAAAAAATAAACTATTTTTAGCTAATTGTATAAGCTGACGGGCACCAATGATGTATGATAGGAGGAACAGGAGATCAGATGAATTTGCCAGGAATAGTAATAATAAATGATAGAAAAATCGATCTGCTTTTAGACATTTATCATAGAAGAGCGAATTGATAGAAGTGTATATAAAAACAATAGATAAAAAGAATACTTCTACTTTAAATATGGATAAACGAATATACAATTGCCAGTGAATCTTATTGTAGGTCTAACAGGAATTAACTAACGATGGTTTCCAGGATGGACCGCGTGGAACTAAATGTACCTTATATTGCTAGCAATAATATTCAATATTAATTCCCACTGTTCATAATAGGTACACATACAATACTAGCTGGTCCCGCAAACGTTACTTTGTTATAAATTACTAGCTGTGCTCGCGTTAAGTTTCAATAAAAAATATATCCTGTGTTATTCAGATGCATAAGCTATATTAGTGTAAAGTTTCGTAAAAATCTATTCAGTAGTTTTTGCGTGAAAGAGCAACAAAGATCCATACTTACAAACTTTCACGTTTAGAATATTATATTAAGATTAAGATTTCTGAAAACTATTAAAGTACTAATCATCATAATTTCAACTTGTGTCTATCCACAGTTGGATATAGGCCTGATGAAGGTGGTCCAAATCGAGAAGGTTGTCGATAACATACTAATAGACCAATCAAAATAAGAAGTAAACCAAAAATGTCATTGATCAAATTAATATGTTTCCACATAAAGAATCGCATTATCTCCGCAATCTAACAATGATAAATTCTAGATGAAAAGCATAATTGCGCTAAAATGCATCGTTTATACTTATAGTGCATTAAGAAAAACCCAGATTATGAAAATGTTACTCCAGCCTCTCAGAGATGGTACTATAATATTAGGTCCTTACATATGAAATTGGTGTTTTGTCGTACTGGCCACTTTGATCTCAAATATCTTCTCTTTCGCCAGGAATTCAAAGTTCAAATTAGTACAGTTATTTACTCATGCATTTGTTTTTCGAAAACCGTAATCCATATGTTTTTTCCATCTTTGGTTTTTTCTTTACGTCACTGAGTTTACAAAATGGAAAACATAAAATATCGCGTTTTTTAAGAGTACGAATTCCGTCGTGGCGCTAGTGTGCAGAAACGACTCGAAGAATTAATGATGTGTATGGCGATGGTGATCTGCAAAACAAGCCCCGTGAGCAGCCAGAGTCCAAGGTTGATAATGAAGAATTAAAGGCTAATGTGGAAGCGGATCCATCGCTAACCACGTCCGAGTTAACTGCAGGCTGCAGTGTTAGTAACAAAACTGTTTTAATCCACTTGAAGCAAATTGGGAAGGTGAAAAAAGCTTGAAAAGATCATGAATTGAATGGAGCAAATCGACAAACGCGCGTACACTGCTGCGTTATTAGCCAAACGGCATAATAATGAAGGGATTTTAAATCGGATCATTACCTGTTATGAAAAGTGGATCTTGTACGATAATCGGAAACACTCATCGCAATGGCTGAATCCTAGCAAACTAACCAAATCCTGCCCCAAGCGAAAATTCAAACTCAAAAAAAGTTACTTGTGAGCACTTAGTGGACTAGTGCCTGTGTTGTTCACTTCAGCTTTCTTATATCTGGCCAGAATATTACGGCAGATGTGTATTGTCAGCAATTGCAAACCATGATGGAAAAGCTAGCTGCTAAACAACCGAGACTGGTCAATCACCGTAGGCTACTGCTGCTTCAG